CCAGGCTGGCACATCCCTGGCATTGTCCTGACCTTTGATGGGAATGTGTCACAGAGTATTTAGCTTGGATTTAACCCCGGAATGATACTTTGGYCTGCAAATATTAACCTGCATTGCTGTGTGCTATCCTTGTGGCTTCTTGTGGCTGTAGGAGACCGTGGGGCATTGGCAAGAGCTCCAGGGGGAAATTACCAAAATCTGAGCATCCCCAGGGATGAATTTACCCTGTGCTATGTGGGGACGGGGAGCATCTGTGTGCAGGGCTGTGGGGTGGGTGTTAGGGATGCTCAACTGGTGCCAGAGGAGCTGGCATGCTCTGCCTGTGGGGGAAAGCATGGATTGTGCTTGAAAATGGAARTGAGAAGGTAGTGCTTTATAATTAGAAATATCATTTAAGAAATTTACAAAACCTACAAAGTTTTTTGTTTAAAGACAGAAAAATAAAATACCCCAGATTGACCCGTAGATGAGGATGGCTTGGCTGCAACCTGGCGACGTGTTTTCTCAGGTGCTTGTGCAGCTCTTCTCCAAGCCTTGCACAGTTCCTGGTGTGAAACAGGCAGTTGCTGTGGGCAGGCAGCAGCTGCTGGGCTCTGTGACCTGGCACTGGAGAGCCTGGGATCCCCACAATGGAGCCGGGGCTCCTGTGTGACTGGTGGAAGCTGCCCTCCGGGGCAGGCTGGAKCTTGGTGCTAATCCATCTTCCTGGGGGCACAGCCCTCCATCTCCAGCAGCTCAGGCCAGCCCTCRTATTTATTTGTCTCCTGATCATTTTTTATGTGCTGCAGGAAAAGAGAGAGAGAGAGAGAGAGGAGCTGGATGAGGAGGTTGGCACAGTGCAAGTTTGCAATGTGGCAGAAGTTGTTGTAGCAGACGTGGGGGCACAGACAGGCAGGGGAAATGCAGCTCGGGAGGAGCCTGAGGAGGATGGAGCCTGCAGAGCTCRTGGCAGGGGAAGGCCGTGTACCTTTTCAAAGGGACTCTTGTTCATCAGCCCTTTTGCTCCCAAGAATACCCAGTTGTCCCTGAAGCCCAGCTCGCCCACGTGGCTGCTGCCCAGCTCTGTGAAATACGCCCTCACTTTGTCGTTCATCCTGAAAGAGGGTAAGAAGGTGTCACTGTGGTGCCAGCTGGGTGTCCCCTCTTTTACCCTCTCTGCTGGTGGCAGCAGCATGTCCAGCTCCCCCAGCTTGTGTTTTTGGGGAGCCTGGAGCTGCTCCCACAGCAAACTCACTTTGTGGCAGCATCATCGTAGCTGGCTGTCAGCACAAGAGTGCCACGCTTGATCCCTTGGAGGAAGGTTTGCAGCTTGGTAATGTCTGGGAGAGAAGAGCATTAGGGAGAGAAAAAGGGATTTAGGAGGTGCTTCTGCATGGGAACTGGGGGGATTTCCTCTGGGTTGGTGGGAGATAACCCGACTGTGCTGGTGCTGGCCAGGATTTGGGGCCATGGGTGTGGGGAAAGATGAGCTCCCAAATGATGCATTTCCCAGCCAGGTTCCCACCTGGCTTTGCTGCAGGGCCCAGGACACTCCTGTTGGTACAGCTGCAGGGGGGAATTGCTCCTAAACTTTGCTTTCTAACTGTGAAATGCAGTTGCGTGAATTCAGTTCCCAACACAAGAAATGAACCTGCTCRGCTGCAGAGCTGCCTCCCCTGCCGTCACACCTCTGGCTGTATTGGGGAATTATTCCTCCTCCCGCATCTGTGGGATGCTTGAATCCAATGCCCCATCTAGTGGCACACGAGCTGACTGCTGCCTTTCTCCAGCGCCTCTCCCACAGAGCATCCCGCTCCTGAACTCGGCTGGTGAYTCTCCCTATAACTCCAGAGTTACCAAGAACACAGTTCCTAAATGGTGATTTAGGGGGCCACGTGTCCCCGAGCTCCTTCATTTATCCTGGTGCAAAAAGCAGTGAAATGAGCTGCTGCTCAGCCAGAGCCAGCACTCAAAAACAGTTCCAGGTTGCAAAGTATCAGGATTAGTGTAACTACCTGATGCCAGAAAGTACCTTTCCCAAGTCTCAAGTGCCATGGTTAATTCAGGTTAGTGAAATTATGTTTTCCAKGATACTATACACATGTAAAAGGAGCAAGAAGCCCATCTTGGATGTGGAAGCATTGCAAGGATTTCAGGCTTGATGGCCTCAGGGGAAGGTGGGCTTTTCCCATTCCCCGTGGCAATTCTGGTCAAAGTCCACTGTACTTYATCATTAAATACACAACAGAAAAGCAGCTGGTGTGAGCCCTGGCTGGAACCCCCAAGGAGCAGAGCTTACCTCCAGAGAACATGTCGAACGTGTTGGTTTTCAGGAGCTGCCCAGTTGTTCCTGGAAAGTTAAAATTGAAAACACGGTGCACAGTGAGTTTGCACTGAGGGAGCTCTAGGCTTTGCCTGCTGTGACCCTGGGGTTCCTTGCACAATGCTTTGCTCTTCCCTCAGTGTGTTTTATCTGCCCTGATGGTGACTCTGCTTCTTGGAGGAGTTCATGGAGCTGATCGTGCATGACCCAGGTGGGTTTGTTCCCTTCTCACTGGCAGTGCTTGAAGCCATAACTGTGGCACCACCAACAGCAGATGRATGTGCTTTTGGCTCAGCCACAGTGCCTGGGAGGGGTGTGCAGTGGCCTGAGCTCTCCTGGGGAAGGAAGGACCCCTGGCTGTGGGGAGAAGGGGCTCAGTGCCTGCCCAACTCACCATTCACCAGTGCAATGTTCAGGCCTCTGCCAATGTTGTTTTTCACGCTGCTCATGAGGCTGGAAAGGAAAGCAGAGAGCACCAGTGAGTGCAGGGATGTCCTGAAGATGCTGATGCCAGTGATGGTGGGGCAAAGGGGCTGCAGATGGCAAAATACCCAGAAGTGATAGCAAAGGAATCTATTTAAAATTTTCTTAACCACAATTACACTGTGATTGACACTGATGTGCTCTGCAGAGGCCAGAGTTTCCCTTTTGAAGGCCAGACCAGCCACAGCTGCCCTGTCCCTGCCAARTGCTGCTTACACCAAGTCTTCGAAGCAGATTGAGGGTCCCACCACATTTGCTGCACCACTGATGATCTTGAAGGCAAAATAATTCTGGGGGCAGCTCTTCTGGTTCCCACACTTGTGCCGGGGCAGCCTCTCACCTGCGAGGGAGGAGTGGAGCTGCAAGTCGTGGCTTTGGCCCATGGGGGGACACTGGCCATGTCCCCGAGGGGCTGAGCAGGGCTGGCACCAKGGTACAGTGGCCACTAAGGGGCAACACTCGGAGCAGCTTCTTGCATGAAGAAGGCTTGTCTTGGGTCTGGGAACAGCTCCTTGTTTGTTGTTTACGGTGCCAAGGCCAGCTGCTGCTCCAGGTGTGGCACAAGGGTGTGCCAGGAGCTGGTGTCCCAGGCAATCCCCTTGGCACTTTTCTGCCCAGTTTCCCCATTCTTGGCCAGGGCAGGGACCCGCCAAAGACCCCATTGTTGTGTGCAACAGCAAAATCCCCCATGTTTGGGAGAGTGGGGTTTTTGCCTTAGGGAAGGAGTTCTTGAAGGCTGTCACACTTCCACCATTCCCCTGAAMCCTGGAGTGGAGCTGTGTGATGAAGCTGAGAGCGATACTCACTGCTGGGCTTGTTCGTGGCACCTGTGGGTATCAAACAGGAGGATCAGACACCCCGGAGAGCTGCTGGTCCTTCCCCAAGCCAGGAGCAAGCAGCTGTTCAGGCACAGCTCTCCAAAACTGCTTCCCATGGCTGCAGGCACTCTGGAGCCACCCATCCCTGTGCAGCTTCCAAGCATGCACCCCCCTCCCTGCCCTGCTGGTCAGAGCTGGTGGCTAAAGCCTTGGCTAGAGACTACAAATCCAAGTGGTCAGGGCAGCTATACCCAGCTTGGGGCTGGCTGGCAAAGGAGCCCCTCACACCCTCCCTCCAGACCCCTCTGCTGCCTCACCGAGCCAGCTGCGCAGGCTGACGGCTTTCCAGCTGTGGTGGAAGTACGTCTTCATGATGAACCACATGCCCAGCAGGGTGATGAACAGCAGCACAAGCCGGATCACACCTGCAGGGTGCACAGAGGAGATGGCTGAGAGCAGCAGCCACAGCAGGGGCAGGTGCTGGAGCAGCCCTTGGAGGATTTGGGAGCCCCTCGGGGGATTTGGGAGTCCCTCTGTGTGCCCCAAGGTTACCAGGCACGGTGTGGGAAGGCACTAACAACCCCTCACCCTCCAAATGGATTCTGATCTCTTAATTAATATCTCTGGAGTGTGTGCTGATGCTGAGATAGGCATYACCGCTCTACTGGGAGGCACTGTTCATATTTCTCTCTGCGTTAAAGTAAATCTGGTAATTACTCAGAAAGCGATGTAAATCCAAATATTTCTTATGTTCCCAGCTTTGGGAAGGCTGCTATCCCCCAATTAGTCACTAGCTACAGCCGAGCAGCTGCTGATACAACTGTGATTGGCATTTGGCTTTAAAGCRGCGCTCATCAGAGCAAAACGTTCCAGTCCTGCATGGAAAGAGAGTAGAAAAATGTACTTTTATTGCAGCTGAATGGCTCTTATGGAACCAGGAATGTCTCAATAGCCATCTCTACCCAGTCACAGAAGGTTTCACTGGGAAAAATACAATAGGCTGAAATCTACACAAATCTTGTGAAAACCTGATGCTCATACAAAGGCCCTTTCCCATGTCCCTGGCAGGGGAAGGGCAGGGTGGCTGGGCTTGGAAAGCATCATGTAAATGAAAAGGAGACACAAAGAACTGTAGAAAAAAATAGATAAAGTGAATATGTGTCCCTCCTTACCTGTTACCCGCATGGTGGAGGACAGAGAGAGCACAGCCGGGGGTCTGGCAGTCACAGATCACCCTGAGGAAAGAAGGCAATGCCTTAAAGAGTGCCTGTAACCCACCAAAACCAGTCAGGTTCTAGATGAGAAAATAATTGCTATGTTGGTCATATTTGCAATAGCGAGGACGTCATTGAAGATGTGCAAATTCCTGTCAGGCACATCCCACCCTGACTGAGTCCTGGAGCCCAAGCTCGCTTCCTCCTGGAGCCTCAGGACCCTTCCCCATCTGCTGCCCTGTGAACTCTTGTTTCACATCCTGCTCTTGGTAATGGACCAAGATTTTCTATTCTGCTGGTAGTAATGAGGGGGACACTTTCAATCACAGCTTTGCTGCATTTCCTTCTTTAGGGAAGGAAATCCTGCTTTAGGGATGATGCAAAAGAGATTTCAAATATTAGGGGCTGCAAAATTCTGCCTGAGGACAGGCTGTGACCTGGCCTTGCTCGATCAGGGGAATCTCTGGGAACAAACTTGTCTTCCTTAAAATCCAAAGGAGAAGAGAAGGGAAGCACCACTATGCTGAGCAGAGCAGCCAGCTTTGTGGACACCTGACTTAAACCCAGAAATATTTCCACTTGGCCAAATCCTGGAGTGTGTTCACCCCATGGACAGGGTGTGGCTGTAATTTGGAGCATGAACTGTTTCCTACCCGGGACAGTCCATCTGCTGCCCTCTCTCCTGCTGTCACCCTGACGATGGGACAGGAACTGYCACCCCAGGCACCCCGGGGGCTGGGATCACTCCTACCTTTGAAATTCCGGGCTGGCTCTGCTGAACCTCTGTCCTGGAAATCACGCTGGAGTCCTACCGCGAATGTTACTCGTGAGATGGGTGCTCGGAGTTAATGAGCCTAGTGTTAGCTAAAGCAGCCCTTTAGTAACGTTTGACAGAAAATTTGTAAAAGAGCTGTGCTGAGAGTTGCTTTTCCTGTTTCAAGGGTAAATAATGAGCGACGGGTTGTAGCTGGGCTGGGCTGAATGAATGTGGATTTCAGGCTGCTGCGTCATGAGGAAGGAGAGAAGAACTTTTCCTCCTGACCAGCCCTGCTCTGGTCCCCAAAGCCCTTCCCCACGCTGCCTTGTCCTGGTCCATCCTAGCCCCCAGCACATTATCTCTGGAATGGATTTTAAAACTTGTGTCGGAGCTGGCATGAACAAGCCCGTTTCACTGAGCTGGTAAAATAAACAGACCAGAAAAAGGACAGTTTAAAGGTTTTGGGGGACAAATGTTGCTTGCAGGTGGATCTGGAGGGGCAGCACCAGCCTGTTCCCTTGTGCTCCTTTCAGTGTGAAGTTTTTAAACACAGGGACTCTTTCCCAGTTCTGGCTCTCCCATCCCAGTGCTTGATCTRATGATGGGGTCAGAAAATGGGGGCAGTTCTCATAATCCCCCTTGGCAATTCACAAAGATTTCAAAACTGGTATTGTTTGCTTTGGGAACTCGCCTTCGCCCCCAGGTTTCATGAGCAAAGCCCAGAGCTGGTGAGAATTCAGTCCCAGGCTGTGATTTGAATACAGTGAGTGGAGCAAAACTACATCTGGGTTTGCAAAACCCTCCCTGTTTGGTCCCCAGTGCCACAGCGAACATTGGCCTCACTGGGGCCCTCGTCCTCCCTTTCACCAAAGTTGTGTTTTTTTCTTTCCATATATTAATTTCATCTCAGAGGAAGGGAAATGGAAAAATAAACCAATAAAGTCCAGTGCTTTAGGGAAGTCATGCATTTATTTGGGCTATTTATCTTCATCTYAATACCAGAAAAAAAAATATTGGGTGAAGTCCCTGGGCAGTGAAATTCTTGGAACCTGAATGCATTACAAGAGGTTGGCCCTGTCTTTGGATTTCTATTATATTATTTTTTAATTGTTTGCACTGATAATTTCTTTTTCTTTCTAGGGTTGTGCCAGAATAAAATGCACCTGTGCCCTGGCACCTGCCAGGGAGCTGCTGGCAGGAGAGGGAGGAAAGAAGGAATTGTGCTAGGTGTTAAATAGAGTTATTTGTCTAATAAACCTGCAACTTGCTTGCTTAAGAAAACATTCCAGGAACAAGAAAGTTCTTGGACAAATATTGCTAAAGAGGCTCGTGGTGTTGTAAAGCAGAAGCTCCACCCAAGGCTGCTCTGGTCTGAAGCGCCGCTTGGCGGAGCTGAGTTACTGCTGCTGGGAAGAACAGACGGATCCCTGCCCTCCCAGGGAGCTGCTCCAGGATGTTCCTGTTCCCTGTCAGAGCTGCAGGAAAACTTTACTACTTCTCTTCCCCACAAACTTCTGCCTTTCTCTCTTTCTTCTTTTTTTTTTTTTTTTTTTTTTTCCTGCTTTTGAACCCGACTTGTCGATCTCCCTCCCAACAAGTCCCTGACTGTGAACAAAATGATTTTGGTAACAGGATGGGGATGTGCCTCCAAAAACGGTGACTGCCACATGTCACCCCAGCCCACACCCGCGGAGTAACCCCTCCAAAAACCAGGGTTTTCCTGCAAAACGGAGTGCAGGGGTGCAGAGCAGGGGCTGGTGTGGGGTGGGTGCACATCCACCCCTGTGGTCAGGCTTTATYGCCACAGGAGGATGGAGGATGCTGCAGTGCCATTTTCAGGCCCGTTGTTATTGGGGGTGTTGACCAGTGTTTGCTGCTTTCTACCTTGTGTCCTCCTACCCTTCCATCAATCTGATTTCTCAAAACTCCAGATGATGCCATCAGTTTTTTAAAGGATGTAATTCTGTCCCTGCTGGCACTGTGCAGGCAGCAAGAGCTGGTCCCTACACCATCTCCTTCAGCTGTGCAAGAGAAAACACATGATAACCTGACAGCAACTTGATCTTGGACAAACCCCACACTTTGCACAGTGAACATCCTGCAAAYTCATGCACAGCCACAATGGCCTGGCCCCCACATCACAGAGCTGCTTCCACCACATCACAGATCCCCRTTCATTCATTATTTCTGACCACGGCACCAGCACAGCACCCCACAGAAAGGATGCCAGAGCATGGGGCTTCCCCTTCACCTCCAGCCCACAAGAAGGAAGAAYAACTAAAACCTTCCCCATGCAACCCTCTAACCTGCCACAAGTCCACAGAAAGTGCTGCAGCAGTGCATTATTGCAGTCATGCTCTAGAAAACGCATTTCCCCCGAGGGGGATGGGACAAGCCCACGTACCGCTCAGTGTCCCGGCCGTGCCGTCCCTCTCGGCGGGCTGTGCTGGCGCTGGAGCATCCCGGGAGCTGGGGCTCCATGTGCTGGGCAGTGCCCAGCCCTGCAGTGACTCACGGCACCTCCCCAAGCCTTATCTCCCTGCCCGCTGCGGGGCTGGGCACAGCCCGGGGCACAGCGGCTGCAGCGCCTGGGAGCAGCTCCCCCGAGGGAGGGACAAAACATCCATTCCTGCGGCCCTGAGCTCATGCATTTCCTTTGGAGGTTTTGTTCACTYTGGCCCTCGCTTTTGTGGCACATCAGAAGAGGAAAACCTCTCCCACGGCGGGCGCCAGGGTGACTCTCTGCTCTTTCACACAAGCCCATCGGGAGTGCTGCAATGGGAACGGGTGGGCATGAAGCCAGGACTGGTGTTCCCCAGACCGGGGTAAACCCAGAATAACCCGATCCTTTCAGGATTTCCCCCACAGCTGAGCTGCACGTGTGTGGGCTGGCCCCGAGTCCCACCTCGCTGCCTCTCATTTACAGGAAGCCGGAGGTTCCTTTTTCAAGGAAGCATTTATTTATCCAGCAACTCAGTCCTGAACTCTAAAGGAGTCCTGAGTTAACGCTATAGATTTAGGCTGTTTTCTTTTTAATCATTTATTGTTGCTATTATTATAGTCCTGAAGGAAGAAATCACTGCTGCAGTTAGCACTAGGGGCTCTCTGTATTTTCCAAAGTTGAACCTCATTTACCTGGCAGCAGAGAATAAAAGTGTTCTCATTCCTTCTTTCCTTTTTCTTTTCCATTCTGATCACTTAGAAGAACCAAACAGCTTCTCTTGGAGCTTTTAAAGCAWTTTTCATCCAAGAACCAGTGGAGGAGACGTGGGGCTGGCAGCGACAGYGCTGCCTTTGGGACTGCAGCTTGCCCAAGGCTGGAGCAGAGCCCTAAGGGACCAACGGTGCTTCCTGATAATGAGTTTAATACCTGAGGGTGATCTCTGTGTAAAGCTCTGCACTGGGCTTTTCTTTGCTTCCCTCCAGCTCTGGTTCCCAGTGCTGGGCAAGGAGTGCAGGGAGTGCTGAACACTGGGGGAAAACACAGCCTCCAAACCAAACCCTCCCAGACAGGGAGCACAAAAGCAAACAYATGCCTGTGCTCTGCATTGGGATAATTATTGCCCTCGGAAGGAAATTTTAGCTGTGGTGAGAGTCTGAGCTTAAACAGCACAGTCTAAATCAAAAACCTTCTCCCTCTCCGGGGAAATATCCTTCCTATTAGTTTGTTCAGCTGCTGGCAGTAACCGGCTCGGCTCAATAACAAAGTGCCCCAAGCTCTGGAGTGCCACAGCTCTCATCCCTGCTGTGTCCCCCTGCTTCCTGCCCCTGCAGGAGCTGGCCAGCGGCGTGGGGATTGCAGCACCCTGGGGGARGCCTGTTCTGGGATGAATTTCTTCTCCTGCTTCAAGGGACATGAGGCCCCCAAATCCTCTRTGGAGATGGGGGCATTGCTGCTGCTTGCAGAGGAAATGTGCAAAAAACCATCAGCAGGGCCAGGAGCTCCAACAGCAAAATCTTGTGTGAAATGCTTCTGCTCCCTGGAAGTGAACATTTCATCCAATATGTTTCCCTGGAACCACAGAAAAGGATGGGGAACTGTGGGCTTTCCCTGTGGGATGTGCTGGTGTGGAGAGCTCTTATGTCTCATCTCTGCATCCTGCGGTAGCCCTGCTTTTGCCCACCCACTGTGGCACACAGCAGAATGGGGCTTTAAAATCCYCCCTAACATTATTGGATGTGTCAAGTGCTGGAAATGGGGCATCAGCTTGGTCTGGACTCAGCACATAATTAACTGGTGCAGTGAAGTTGCATCATG